TCCAATCCTCCTCCAATCCTCCTCCAATCCTCCTCCTCCCCCTCCTCCTCCTCCTCCTTCTCTTCCTCCTTTTCCTTCCCCTCCTCCTGCCGCTCGCACGGCATGACCGTCCGCGGCCCGACCCTGCGCCGGAGGCGGGCCTTCTCGAGACCTGCCCCCCCCCCCCAGCCGGCCCCCGAGCCGGGCCGTGGCCAGGACGCGGGCGAGGCCGGCGAGCGCGTGGTGACGGTGGGCAGGCGGGAGGGGGGGGCATGGCGCGGGTGCGCGACGGGAGCGGCGGTGTCCAGGGGCAACGCAGGGGGTTGCTAAGTGGATAGGGGGTTGCAAGTGGATACCAAGGTGGGTTATGTCTGGCCCAGCCTGGCTTGTAAGTGGGTTACAAGTTCCCCGAGTGGTTCAGGGGGGTTAGATAATTCAATTCGCCCACTTAGCCCGCCCACTTAGCCCAGATCGTTAACCACCGCAGGCTCCTTGGGGCATTTGTAGCCCACTTGCAAGCCAGAACGGGCCAGATATAACCCACCTTGGCATCCACTTTTAACCTCCCTTTTCCACCAAGCAACCCCCGCGGCGATCCAAGCAGGGGCAAGGCAGGGGGGCAGGGGAGGCTCAGGCTTCCTGGGACTTGGTGGCGGCAGGGCCGTTCTTGTTTACCGTGTTCCAGAGCCTGCTCCTCAATTTTTGGACCCCCAGGGTAGTCCGGGGATCCGGGTGCGCGCCAGGAGCGGGGGGTCGGACGTTCTCGTCGGTTCCGGAAGTCGGGATGCGTTTCAGCAGCTGCGCCTCGCAGCGAGGCGTCCAGGGGTGTCCAGAGCTTCCCAGACGGCCGCTGGAGGGCCCGAGTTGTGGCCCGAAAGCCACCAGGGACGGGCGGGCATAGGTCCACGGGGGAGTGCATCGACCCCAAATCGCCCACTGGTCGCCGATGAGGGGCCCATTGGTACACCCAGCCCAGGAACGCACGGATTCGCCATCGATGGCCCATCGCCGACCTGTCGGCGGTGTGTCGCCGATCCCAGGTCGGCGTTCCCCCCCCCCAGGTCGAGGTCATCACGTCATCGCAGCGCGGGTGCGTTCTGGGAGCGGCGGTGCCCAGACGCTCGCGCCGCGGCAAAGCTCGCGGCGGGAGGTTCTTGGCCGTTGTCGACCGCGTTGGGGCTCTGGCCAGGCCCCTCCTGGGATCGCCGCGGAGCTTGCCGGATCGCTGCCCCCCGGAGCCCACGCCGCTCGGGGCAGTCGGTGACCCACTCACGTGCCAGGCCGGGCCCGAGGGTCCCACCGCGGCATCCGCTCCTGGCCCCGCCATCCCCTCGGCACCCCCCGCGGTCATCCCAGCGGGGTCGAGCCAGCCCCAGCGGAGCGCGCCGGGACCTCCCAGGGCCCGGTGTGGCAGACATCGCGGCATGGGCCGTCGGGGGGCGTGCGGCAGCCTCGCGCGCTGCCTCGGCGGGGCGGCGGCGCGTGCGCCCCAAGGCGAAGGCCCCAGGCTGACCGCCTCCGGCAGGGCACCGACTGGGAATGGCCGGCCGCGACGCAGATGGTCTCGGGTGAAGTCCAATCAAGCAGTGGCGAAGCGTCCTGGCTCGCCGACAGGCCCACCGAGTACTGTTCTCAGGACCTTTTTTGTGGTTTCGCCGGCATGTTGTCAGAACATTTCTGGCCGGGACTGTTTTGTTTCAACACGTCGGGTGTATGTTCTAAGAGCATTGTCTGTGCTTTCAGAACATTGTTGGGATCCAAGAACATGTCGTGGTAGGCCTATAGGAATGCCGGGACGGTCGGTCCCTGCTCAATCCAATACGTCTCTCGTTTCACGCGCCTATGGTTTGTCAGCCCGCCCGCGGCATCCTCTCGCGCTCGCTGCACACGGCCGACTGGCGCCAGAGGGCCCTTTTTGTTGGTCCTTCTCTCTGGGCTCAGGGGGGGGGGCGGGAGGCGCCTCTCTTGACGAACGAGCAACACACCCATACCCATAGGGGGGTCGTTGAGAGGAGGACTGGCTATGGGTATGGGTGCGGGTTGTCGGACCCTGGGGAACGCTCCCGTCCGAGCGGGGACCCCCATCCGACAACACGCACCCATAGCCCATAGCCCTCTCCGACCCCCCTATGGGTATCGGTGTGTGTTGTTGGTTCGTCATCTCTCGTGGGCACGGCCAGGTGGAGCTCGGGGAGCCGCGCCAGGGGTTTGACGTCCATCGGAGGGGTGCGGGGCATCGCTGAGTCGGGCACGTCCCTCTACAGGAGGAGTATTCAAGAATAGTGAAGACATCGTCTAGGCACGGCTTTTCTGGTATTTTTGGCCACTGGGAATATTTTGGATTCTTCTTACTGCTTCGTCCAGGCTCCGCCTGTCGGAGAACATGCCCGACGGAAGACTAGGAGAGACGCCTCCACCCTCTACAGGAGGAATCTTCAAGAACAGTGAAGACATCGTCCAGGGACGGCTTTGCTAGTACTTTTGACCACTTGGAATGATTTTGGATCCTTTTTACTGCTCCCTCCAGGCTCCGCCTGTCGGAGAACATGCCCGACGGAAGACCAGGAGAGAGACGCCTCCCGCGCAGCCCCCCGAAACGTGACGGCATCGGCAGCGGCCTCTCGAGCGCCACGGGTGCAGGGCACCGTGCTTTTGCAGTCGACGGTCGCGGCGCGGTGTCCGCGCGCGGCCCGGGGAGCGAGTGTTTACCAGCCTGGAACATATTCCTATCCCTATGCTGGGCACCTCCTTCTCCTCCTCCCCCCCTCCTCCTCCTCCTCCTCCTCCTCCTCCTCCTCCTCCTCCTCCTCCTCCTCCTCCTCCTCCTCCTCCTCCCCCCTCCTCCTCCTCCTCCTCCTCCTCCTCCTCCTCCTCCTCCTCCTCCAAGGGGAACCCTTTTGGCGTGTCAATCTTAGGGATAGGGATACGTTCGAGGCTGGTAAAGTGTCGGGCTCGAGCGAGTGTCGCCCCCGAGCAGATCCGCGCCGCCCCGGAGCGGGCGCGGGCGGTCCAGGCGGAACGCCCTCCCGTGGGGCCCGTCTCGGGCCTGAGGGCCTTCGGGGGACGGGCCTCGAGGCCGGCATGCCCCTCTACAGGAGGAATCTCCAGCAATAGTAAAACATAGTCTGGGGCTTTTTTGTTGTTTGTTTAAACAAGTATTTTAGTTGTTTTGTTGTTTTTGAGTTTTTGTTTTTTAGTTTTTTGGGGTCGTCTTTTGGTTCTCGTCCAGAGTCCGCCTCTAGGAGGACGCGCCCCTCTTGAGACGAGCCCGCGGCGCGGAGGCCTCGGCGCGGAGGGGTCTGGTCTCGAGAGCCTCTGGCAGGGGGCCTCCGCGAAACTCGGGAGGGGAAAAAACACACAGACACAATGAATCGTCGATTCCCATATTTTCGCAAATTTCGCTGGGAATCGACGATTCTAGGGGAACAGACAGTGACATAACATAACAACTCGGAGGTCCGCGCGGATTTCTCGGATCGGCGCTGGGGACCCCCTGGCGGCGCCTCCGGCGCCGCCCCTGGCGCGCTCCGCGCGCCAGGGAGGGGGTCCAGCGCCGATCCGAGAAATCCGCGCGGACCTCCGAATTGTTATGTTTACGTCACTTTTGTTCCCCTAGAATCGTCGATTCCCAGCGAAATATGCGAAAATATGGGAAGTGGGGGGGAAGACCGAAGACCCGAAAATATGTGAAAATATAGGGAGTCCGGTTATTTGTGTGTATTTGTTTCTGTGTCCCAGGGCCCCTTCATAATTAGCGGGGACGGCGTGCGGGGGGGCCGGAGCGAGCGCAGCTCGGCGTCGGATGAGCACAGGGGGCCCGCGTCGTCGTGCGACGGGGCCCGCCGCGGGCCAGGGCCCCTCCCCCTCCTCCTCCTCCTCCTCCTCCTCCTCCTCCTCCTCCTCTCCTCCTCCTCCTCCTCCCCCCTCCCTCCTCCTTCCTCCCTCCTCCTCCTCCTCCTCTCCTCCTCCTCCCTCCTCCTCCTCCTCCCTCCTTCCTCCTCCTCCTCCTCCTCCTCCCCTCCCTCCTCCTCCTCCTCTCCTCCTCCTCATCCTCCTCCTCCCTCCTCCTCCTCCTCCTCCTCTCCTCCTCCTCTCCCCCTCCTCCTCCTCCTCCCTCCTCCTCCTCCTCTCTCCTCTCCTCGTCCTCCTCCTCTCCTCCTCCCTCCTCCTCCTCCTCCTCCTCCTCCTCCTCTCTCCTCTCTCCTCTCTGCTCTCTCCTCTTCCTCCTGCCCTTCTCGCCTTCCCAGGGCGTCGCCCTGCCAGGGAAGCTGGGCAGGCATGACCTGTGGACGACGATCCGTGTAGAGGAGGCATGCTGCCAAAGAGTTTCCAGATGTCCAGAGCATGTTTGAGGCATGTCTCGGTCATGAACAAGATCATTTTTTGTTTAAACGTGTTTGAAATAGGTTTCCCGACATGTTCAGCACAGTTTCGATTCAATGATCAGGATAGTTCGAGTGTCCATTGTCATGGCATCCGCAAGAAATGACGCGGCCTGCCTGGGCGAGAGCTGGGTACACGTGTGGCCAGATGTCTTTCTGGTGCTCAGCCCTGCACTGGCCGTGCACACCAGGCTTCCGCATGTGCATCCTACGCGTGGCCTCCACATCTTACACGCATTAATCCAGCCATGTGCTCCCAGCTTCCCGGTAGGTCCGATGCCAGGATCTGTCCATTGGGAGACCGATTCTCCCAGACTTCGGGAGGCAGTGTTGGGCATGCTCGGGTCTTGGAGGGGGCACACGCACACGCACACGCTAAAAATAGATGTGTCAGCCTGCGTGGACCCCAAGCAGAGTGTGTGTGTGTGTTAGCATTTCGGTTAGGGCGTTCGTTAAGGAACGTGCCCAGGAGGCTTCAGACCCTGGAGGGTTCCTTATCTGATGAGGGCGGCGGTGATATCCGTGGCCAAGCTTCGATTGGAGTTCCACTGGCCTCTAGACCCTGGAAATTCTATTTCAAGGGTTCCTTATCCAATGCCTTCACCGTATATGTTATGCAATCGATGTTGACAAATATATGTGGTGTATTCTACACGGTGCAACATATGCGGTGCAATCAATTTTGAAGAACTTGGAGTTGTCACTTCCACTGCTCGCGGAATCATCCCATCCATCCAACCGCAATTTGGTTTGCACAACTGCGTCGGCGATTGTGATGAGTGCTTGGTGCTGGCTGGCGCATCTCTGCGGCCGCGCTCGCGCGCGCATGCTCGCGCGCACAGCGGCCAGCTAGCTTAGCTCAACCGACGCGGCCGCAGTGGCGCTCACCGATTGGGACTTCCCAACGCGTCACAGGTTGAAAAACACACGGCCTTCTTAAGAGATCGCAGCAAAGCTCACGTTTGTTTTTTGACAAGCCATGTCGCACAACACTTCGATTGTGAATGCAGTCTTTACGAAACCCAAGGTTCTGAAGAATTCGAGCATGTGCCCGCGACGACGCGCGCGTGCCGACGTTTGGCAATTTGTTCGAAGGGCTGTTGACCATACATGGTTTGGAGAAACAAAATGTACGCGAATAAACTTATTTGTCAGGGATGAGGGGCGGGCGATAACGGGTCTAGCTGGGATTGAATGAGTTCGTTTTGGCTGGCGGGGGCCCCTTACACAGTGTTTCTACTTAATCGCTTCGCTCATTCCGCCGGCCCTGGAGCGCTATTTGGGGCCTCTTGGGGCCGTCTTGGGGGCTTCTTGGGGGCTTCTTGGGAGCGTCTTGGGGCTCCCTGGCGGCGTATTGGGCTCCCCTGGGGCCTCTTGGGGGGCTCTTGGGGGCCCCGGGAGGGGGGTAGTCGATTGCAGCCCCCCCCTCGGAGGCCACGATCCTCGTGAGGGGTGGCGAAAAATAGCTTCCCCCCTGGGGATCGCCCGGGGATCAGCCGGGGATCGGCCGGGTTTTTTTTCGCCCGGGGCCCCCCAGGGGCCGCCCCGCGCGCGCGAGCTAGAAATATTGTTAAGTGGTTACCGGAGATCTTAGCACGCCTCTGGCCCGTTGGGCCGGCGAATTGCAATCGATGTTGTGCAGTTTGTGTTGTGCAATCCATGGGGTGCAATCTCTGTGGTGAAATCTATGTTGTGCAATCGGTTGTGTGCAAACTGTGTTGTGCCAAAAATATGTTGTGCAATATGTCGCCGCGCCGTTTGTCCCGACGCGCGGCCTGCGTTTCGGGGTGGGTCCAACGGGCACCAAGGGAAACGTTGCCTCGGACGCGGTGGGCTTGCCGTTGGTTTGCCGCGGTGTCGGCTTAGTCTGGTTCGGCGCGGGGCGCAGTGTTTGCCGTGGGCTTGCCGTGGTGTCGGAGCCGTCCATTTGCGCACGTCGAAGGCACATGCGCGGATACATATGTTGTGTGCGATCTATACTGCGCAGCCTCTGAGGTGCAATTTTTCTGGGGCGACGTATGTGGTACAACGGGTGTTGCGCAAAATGAACAGCAGTAGATGTCATGCAATCTAAAAGTATGCAATGTATGTTTTGGAATCGGTTATGTGGTGTTGTATGCAATCGACGTAAATGAATACAGGTTGTGCAGTTTATGTGGTGCACTCTATGCACATATGTGGTATAACCGAACTACGTGGTGCAATGTATGCGGCGCAATACGTGTCGTTCAATTAATTTGTGTTCGCAGTGGGTTGTCCACTCCACGGCTCGCGCAATCATCTCATCCACCCACCCGCAACTTGGTTTGCAAAACCCATGTGCCGGCGATTGTGATGTGTGCTTAGAGCTGGCTGGTGCATCTCTGCGGCCGCGCTAGCCCGCATGCTCGTGCGCGCAACGGTCAGCTAGTTTTGCGCGACCGACGCGGCCGAGGCGGCGTTGACCGTTGGGCACTTCCCAACGGACACTTCAGTGCGAGTCGGCGATTCGGGCGGGCGTGGTATCATGGCAATGTCGACATAGGTAGACGCAATGATGATGGTAGCGATGCTGGTGATGGTGATGACAGCGACGACGGCAATGCCAGCGACGGGGCCGATGCTGATTACGCCGACGACGATGACGGCGTCCTTGCGTCGATGATGGAGTTTTGAAGGGGGTTCGACATGCGCGCGCGGCCGATGCACGATATTGGCCCGCATGGTATTTTTTGGCACGGATTGTGCCCCCCCGCAGCACGCGCGCAAGGGCGTTCGAACGATTTCGACGTGCGGCGCGAGGGGCCCGTTTGGCCGAATGGGGCGAAAGATTTGGAACCTTTCTTTTTGCATGGTTTTCTTTTGATTTCCCAGGACCGCTAGCGCAAACATTCTTGAACACGGATGTTGTAAAACCATTTGTTTTCAAATATGTGTTCGGAACAACCGTCTTTGAAATCCCCACATGTCGTGTTTGTAAAGGGTTCCGGCATGCGCGCGCGCGACGACGCGCGAGTGTGTACTTCGTGTTTTTATTGCCAGGGTTTCTTGCGGCAGCACGCGCGCACGGGCGTTCGAGCGATCTCGTTACGCGCGCACGAGATGCCCGTTGATGAAGATTTTGACGTGTGGATTTGTCTCGGCGGGGACCATCGAGGATCATCTTGGAACATCAAAAGCACGCACGCAACTGAATAATGCAAAGGGGATGGACGTCCGAGCGATGGCAAGGCGAGCGATGGCCTTGGCCAGGCGCGGTGGTGGTGAATCACGACCTGCTGCTTATCAGAGGTCTGGGTCAGGGGTTAACTAAACCCCTGCTTTCCTCAACTTCGAGGCAATTCCAACGGTGGCGGTGAGGAGCCCAGAGGCGGCCCAACACGGGCGGAACGCGCCCCAAAACCATGGCCTTCTAACCTCGGTTCGCCAGGCGTCTGGGCCCCCTCTGCCACTGCCCGCCCTGCTCCCCCAGGGTGGGCAGCGGCTTCAACATGGAGCGGCTGCGAGCCATCCGCGACCGCCTCCGCCCGCACCTGCGCAGGTGCCCTGAGAGTGAGCAGGGAGGAGGAGGAAGAGGAGGAGGAGGAGGAGGAGGAGGAGGAGGAAAAGGATGGGGAGGAGGAGGAGGAGGAGGAGGAGGAGGAGGAGGAGGAGGAGGAGGAGGAGGACAGGAGGAGGAGGAGGAGGAGGAGGAGGAGGAGGAGGAAATTCGATGGTCGACGGTGAGGATTCAAGCTGTTTCATGCTGTCGTTCGCCCTTCTTGAGCCCCCAGGAGGCTTCTCATCGTTACGGCTCGATTTCCCTTCGAACTTCGGGTCAAAGCACACCCCTCGGTGTCCAGGAGTGAGTTTTGAGGGTGCTGGTGCTGGTGCTGGTGCGTGTGCTGGTGATGATGATGATGATGATGATGATGATGATGATGATGATGATGATGATGATGATGATGATGCTGCTGATGATGATGATGATGATGCTGATGCTGATGCTGATGCTGATGCTGATGCTGATGATGCTGATGATGATGCTGCTGATGATGATGATGATGAACATGAATGAATATGCATATTAATATGATGCTGATGATGAAGGATGACGATGCTGATGATGATTCTGAGGATGCTGATGATGCTGATGATGCTGCTGATGATGAGGAGGAGGATGAGGATGAGGATGATGCTCATGATGGTGATGATGAGGATAAGGATGAGGATGAGGATGAGGATGAGGGTGATGATGGTGATGATGATGATGATGATGATGATGATGCTGATGGTGATGATGATGATTCTGTGGATGAGGATGATGATGGTGGCGGTGGTGGTGATGGTGATGGTGATGCTGATGACGATGATGATGCTGATGCTGATGATGATGCTGATGATTCTGATGATGATGACGATGATGATAATGACGACGACGATTGATGATGATGATGATGATGATGATGACGCTGATGCTGTTGCTGTTGCTGCTGCTGATGATGATATTGTTGATGATGATGACGCTGATGATGATGATGATGATGATGATGATGATGATGATGATGATGATGATGATGATGATGAGGAGGAGGAGGAGGAGGAGGAGGAGGAGGATCAGGGAGAGGAGGAGGAACAACAATAATAATAGTAGTAATAATATCATAACAATAGTAGTAAAAGTAGTACTAATAATATATTACTAATAATAATACGAATAATAATAATAATGATAATAATAATAATAATAATAATAAGAATCATAATCATACTAATAATAATGATTTGGGGAGGTGAAGGGGGAGGATGAGGATGAGGATGAGGAGGATGCGGGGGAATTTGAAGAAGAGGGGGAGGAAGACGTGAGAAACAGGAGGAAGGGGAGGATGAGGATGAGGATGAGGAGGAGGAGGAGGAGGAGGAGGAGGAGGAGGAGGAGGCGGAGGCGGAGGCGGAGGCGGAGGAGGAGGAGGAGGAGGAGGAGGAGAAGGAGGAGGAGGAGGAGAAGGGACCACTGCCCACAGTATATAAGCACAATGTGACTCGATGCCAACACACCGCTCCGTTCTGAGCCCCCAACCCATTCAGTCTCTACAATCAACCATGATAGTAAGGATGGGCAACCTTCCCAAGGGTATCCTTGCATCCTTGCCTCCTCGGTCCATCCCTCGCCGCTCTCGCTTGCCGCGCCCCGCTCGGAAAGCTTTGAGATGGGCGTCCAAGGCCCTTGCAGCCCTATCGCGCATCCTTACTACACTGGTGGACTGGACGAGTATACTCTGCTCGACTGTGCGAAGCCTTCCGCCCTTCCCCCCCTGGAAGACGAGTGCAGCATGGACCCGCAATTCCGGCCGGAGCTCGGTGTTGAAAGAATCCAGGCCGGAGCTCCTCCTCCTCCTCCTCCTCCTCCTCCTCCTCCCTCCCCCATTTCCATGCCTCCTCCTCCTCCTCACCTTCCTGCCTCCTTCCCTGCCTCCCTCTCTCCCTCCCTCCTCGTCGTTTTCCTCGGCCTGCGTTCAGGGCTGGGGCACGAACTCGAAGGAGGTACCCAGCGACGGCCCCCGCTGCGCACAGAGGAGCCGCCCTGCATCTGCGCGCCTGGCACACGGCCGCGGTGGCGAGCGCCACGAGGTGTGGCGAGAGCTCCGGCGAGCGCCTCCGCAGGCGGCATCTGTACGTCTCCGCCGTGCCTGGCCAGAGCCACCCTGGGCGCCACTACGGTGGGGGCGTTGGCTAAGGAATGCGCCCAGGGTGCTCCAGACCCTGGAGGATTCCTTATCTGCTGAGGGCGGCGGTGATGTCCATGGCCAAGCCTCGATTGGAGTTCCGCTGGCCTCCAGACCCTGGAAAGAAGGGCAAGAAAGGCAAGGACAAGGGCAAAGGTGACGGCGGCAAAGGTGGAAAAGGTGGACGTGGTGACGGAGGTGCAGGTGGCGATCCAGCCAAGCTTCCTCTGGCACCTGGTGCACAGTTCCTGGTGGCCCAGGATGGCCCCACTGTGGAGCTCGAGACTCACGAGCTGGAGCAGCTGGTGGCCACGTTGGAGAAGCTGGGAGACACGGTCAGCCTCGCGAAGCATAGGCGCACCCTTCAAGAGCGGCGCCGACTCCAGCAGGAGGCGCTCTACGTGCCGCCGTTGTCGCAGAGGGTCACTCAGGCCCACAAGCAGGTGCAGGACGTCTCGCAGAAGCTGGAGAAGGCGGTCATGCACTTCGAGCGGCTCGAAGAAGGCCTCGAAAGCCAGCGTCGTTGGGTCCAATCTCTCTGCGAGGACATGGAGTCGAAGAAGGCTGAGCACCGCAAGCTGGTGGTTGAGCTCAATCGCCAGGTGGTCGACCTCAGCCAGGACTCAACTCCTGCAGTGGCCTCCATCAGCGTGGCTGGCATCTTGGACGGCACTATCGAGGAGATCCCTCTCTCGTTTGCTGGCCTTGGGTTCGACGACGCTGAATATGAGATGGATGCAAACGACAAGAAGGAGCTGGCAGATCGCAGCGCCCGTCTCAAGAGCGAGCTGTCCAACGCGGTCAAGCAGATGTTCGGGCAGGCGGCCGAGAAGGCCAAGCTCTTCAAGGAGGAGCAGGAGGCCATGGCGCTACGGCTGGCTGGCAAGCGGCGGCGACAGGGCTCAGCCCCTGAGGACCCTGCCCCAGCAGGGGCGGCCGCCGCTGAAGCAGCTCCGAAAGGCAAGGACGGCGAGGCAGCGGACGCCGATGCGACGGCGCCGTCGCCTCCTACTGCAGCAACGCAGTCGCCCAAGGAGGAGGAGTCAACCAGTCAGAACTTCGAGCAGAGGGCGGCCAGGATTTGTCGCCCGCCGCCCCCTCAGGCGGCCTCTGCCTGAGGGGGCAGACCCCATGGACGCTGTGGCTGAGAGCGATCGGCGGACGCCCTTGGCCGAGGCAGCTGGATCTCTTCGACCAGCTGAGCGTTTCTGGAGCAACAAGACCGTGGACCTCGACTGGCCTCAGGTCGGGGGGTTCTTGGTCCCTGCCCTTGATCGTCCAGACGAGGGCACATCGATGATCGGCAAGCAGTACTGCAAGCAGCTGCCCGCCGAGCCCGAGGCCGACATGCCTGAGCCCACTGGGCGGAGGCCTGAGGCCATGGGGCTTCCACCTGATGTCGAAGATCCTGCTCGACAGCAGGCCATCCAGGACTACGCCGACATGAGGGCGGACCTCAGGGACTGGGCTGCCGCCTGGTTCGACTCGCACACAGAGCTGGAGACCGACAGCGGGCACTGGAGGCGCTGGTGCAAGGCGTTCCTGGGCGCGATGCTCGCTGACGGCGGGAACGAGCCGCTCAGGCGCCTGCTGAGGAGCTGGTTTCCTGGCAGAGACTTGGACAGCATCCTGGACGAGCTCTGCCTCAGCGGCTGGAGGCAGTCGGAGCCCCGCCGCATCGCCTTCTTGGACAGGCTCAGCAGAGCCCAGCCACTTGATCGGTGGCGACTAGAGCACAGGCACTGGAGGCACCTGGCGGAGATCAGGGCCATGTTTCGACGGCTCCTCGGTGACAGAGCTCCTGGAGACCCAGTGCCGCCGCAGCGACCTGATGGGGGAGTGGAGCCTGACCCTCCTCGCCGGCCAGACTCGGATGACGACCAGGCGATGGACTACGTCGACAACCTGACGGCGAAGCTGGTCATGCTGTCGCATGCGCCCTTGCTGCAGCTTCCTGGCGGCGGAGTCTCGCCCAGCCACGCCAACCTGAGCGTGGAGCAAGCCGGCCCTGGATCGACCTGGTCAGCAACGGGAGCCTCCTCAGCTTCGGGTACAGCAGCGTTAGAACGCATTCCTGATGGCGTTAGATCGCATGGCGTTAGATCGCACAGCGCGGTGGCACGGGGGGGGTGAGCCTGTTGGACACCGCCCTTGGCTTCATAGGGGGTTGTGGTGGGCGACCACCCCGTGCCACCAGTCTGCCCCAGTCGCCACCTGCTGGACGAACACGAGGACGCAGCTCAAGACCTGGTCCCGAGTGCTCCTCGAGCTCGGGCCAGGCTCAGTCGCCACGCGCTGGATCAAGACCCTCGCCTGCCGAGAGGGTCGGAGGAGATGCAGATAGTCAAAACTGGCAGTCAAGACGCCAACTCAACACCAAAGTGGCGGTGGACACCCTGGGCCTCTTGACGGTCCCCGAGCCTCAGAGCACCAAGGGCGGCGTCGTGTCACAGCTGGAGGGGCCGCCTACGCTCTGCTTGGCCAAGCTTGTGGCGCCGCCTGTGGCTGGTCCAGCGCCCTTCATCTCGCTGAACGGCGCGACCTGGAAGGAGGCGCAGACGGAGCTAGAGCGCCTCTCGGACTCTGGCTCGAAGGACGACGTCTACCTTATCCAGGAGACTCGCTTCACGGGGAATGAGAAGGAGAGCGAGGCCATCGGATGGGGCACTCGCAACGGCCTCAACGCGTCCTTCAGCCCATGCAGGAGAACGGGTACCTCGGCCCAGTCGGTGCCATCTGGTGTTGGCTGTCTTGTGGCGACACACCGAGGATCAGCACCTGTGGACCATGGCTGGGGTCCTTTCAGCTCGCGGCTCTTCGCTCGTAGAGTGGTCTT